AGAGGAACTCGAGACCAAATTGCTAACTTGTGCTGGATTATGGAGAAAGCCAGAGAGTTCCAGAAAAATATCTACTTCTGCTTCATTGACTATGCAAAAGCCTTTGACTGTGTGGACCACAGCAAACTATGGCAAGCCCTTAAAGAAATGGGAGTGCCTGACCACCTTATCTGTCTCCTGAGAAACCTATATGTGGGACAGGAAGCAACAGTTAGAACTGGTCATGGAACAACTGAGTGGTTCAAAATTGGGAAAGGAGTACGGCAAGGCTGTATATTCTCCCCCAGCTTATTTAACTTATATGCAGAATACATCAGGCGGAAGGCTGGACTGGAAGAAACCCAAGCCAGAATTAAGATTGCCGGAAGAAATATCAACAACCTCCGATATGCAGATAATACCACTCTGATGGCAGAAAGTGAGGAGGAATTAAAGAACCTTGTAATGAGAGTGAAAGAGGAGAGTGCAAAAAAACGGTCTGAAACTCAACATCAAAAAAACTAAGATCATGGCCACTGGTCCCATCACCTCCTGGGAAATAGAAGGGGAAGATATGGAGGCAGTGTCAAATTTTATCTTCCTGGGCTCCATGATCACTGCAGATGGAGACAGCAGCCCTGAAATTAAAAGACGCCTTCTTCTTGGGAGGAAAGCGATGACAAATCTGGACAGCATCTTGAAAAGCAGAGACATCACCTTGCCAACAAAAGTCCGAATAGTCAAAGCTATGGTTTTTCCTGTCATGATGTATGGAAGTGAGAGCTGGACCATAAAGAAAGCAGACCGCCAAAGAATGGATGCCTTTGAGTTGTGGTGCTGGAGGAGGCTCTTGAGAATCCCCTGGACTGCAAAGAGAACAAACCTATCAATTCTAAAGGAAATCAACCCTGAATGCTCACTTGAAGAACAAATCCTGAAGCTGAGGCTCCAGTACTTTGGCCATCTAATGAGAAGAAAAGACTCCCTGGAAAAGACCCTGATGTTGGGAAAATGTGAAGGCAAGAGGAGAAGGGGACGACCGAGGATGAGATGGCGGGACAGTGTCTGCGAAGCAACCAACATGAACCTGACACAACTACGGGAGGCAGTAGAAGACAGGAGGGCCTGACAACTCTTTCTCCCAGTAGGTTTTTTTACAATGACCATGCTTTGCAGAGAGCATATTCAACCCCACTGGAAATCACTCAGCATACTCTAACTCCAATATTTGAGGCAGGAGACAAGAGGTGCAGAAATATGTCAAGCTTGATTTTGTCAAAGTTCTATTTTCATCCACCAGACTCAGGGTGGGAATGGCATATGTCTGACTGGAACAGAAAGGGCTGCTTTGCATGGAGCAATCTCTCCTTTAAAAAAAATCTTCCTTTTTTTGAGGAATGGTTCCAGTCGAACACCCCCCCCCCCAAAATAGTAGCCATACAGCTGGACTAAAAGAGTCTAGCTTGGGTACAGACCAGGGCTGGACTGGAGTGCATTTCCCCATATGCTACGTGATTACTGGGAAACGGATTGCACCAGACTGCTCCACAAGCAGGCCAGCATACGATCTATTTCCCTATGTGATCACACCCTCATTCTGACTCAAATTTGTGTCAGAGTGCGAACTAATCCCACTTAATTTCTCACCCATCCCAAACTGAGACAGACAGTACATCCACTCTGTCACACAGAGTGAAATAAAGGTCTAGTACCCTTGTATTAGACTTGTTGATTTATAGTTCTGTGAGTAATAGTTACCTGCCTATTAGGTGAGCATAGCCCGTCATAGTTAATCACTCTAGTTATGGTGAGATGTTTATGCCATTTGCACTCTTAAAAGTTCATTATTTGTGTTAATGTTATTGACACTTTACCATTTCACCTTCTCTGCCTATATTCATCTTAACTGTATCTATACTCACACAATGTACAATTGTATAAAATTCTGTAATTAAATACTTCACTCTCTGTGTCTCAGGAAGTGGCCTGTAATCCACCAAGCTCACCCCAATTTCAATTTGTAAGTCGTCAATATGCCACAATACTTCTGGTTTGGTTTTGTTCTATTTCATTACACTTTGTTCCATAATATATTAGAATGCATATTCCCTGCTGCATATTGAGCTCTTTGAGCTGTAATACATATTAAATTAAAATTATCAATGTGTGGAGATGTTTTTAAAAAGCATTTTGAAAATAATTTTAAAAATCTGATTTAAGTTTTTTTTAATTGTGTTTCATCCCCTCTATAAATAGATAGTTTTTTTAAAAAAAATACTTTTGATTATATTGAGACTTAAAAAATCAAAGACCTGAAAGACACAGGATGGTACATTTTCTTACACAAGAAGACATTAAATTAGACCAACAGTGAATGGGCTTCCTTGAAATCTTAATGAGCAAGGCAATCAGGACTAGCATCATTAGCAGATTCAAAGTAGACAGCTTATTGGGGATGCTAGATGAGCTGGAAAAACTCACCTATGAAGGACTGTGAAAGCGAAGGGGACTAAGGCATGTGCTTGCTGTTGCAGAAAGTAGGAAACCACTCAAGCTGGAAGGCACAGAATAAGTGAGATGGTTAGGTAATGAGCCAAGAGAAAGCTTGAGAGCAGTGTTTCAGTTGGTTACCAAGTTGAGTGAGAAGCGATTCAGCAAGCCCTAGCGCCATTTGGATGAACTTTGTTCACTCTTCCCATCTTATCATTACTCGTTTATTAGTGCTGTAAGAGAAATGAAACAGGACCAGCTTCTGCATTCATTAGCTCTGGTGAGACGAATCCCTCAAGCATGGGAGAATCAGCCATTGCCACCACTGCCTCTAGGAGGGCCCTCACATCACTGTGCTGCTCTGTACCTCCTGCCTGCTTTTAAAAGCCAGCATTATTGAAAATGACCAGTCCACCCATTAAGAACTAGCCAGCCTGTACTGAGTGGAGCTGTGAAAGCCCTCTTAGAAGTGGCCACTTTTCTTTGTGTTCTGGTGGCATGTGAGGTGTGCAGCCCTGCTATTGCCCTGCTGCTACAGTTATGCACAGCTGCTGTCACCAGAAGGGCCCTCACCTGCTCTGTTGCTACTGCCATCTGTTAGTTATTGTACATGTCACTCTTCTGAAGTCTATTACAGCAAAATTTGCAAGAATACATTTAACATTCAGTGTAAGATCACGTTCTAGTCCACAATGAATTTGCATAGCTTTTTTGACTCATCCTCCTTTCTATATTCAGATGGGTATATACCAAGTGGGGCAATTTCCTTAATCACATCTTTGCCTTCAAAATGGCTTTTGTATAGTAGACATATTACAGGCCATCTGCTGATCCAGAAGATCAAGGGATGGGGTGAATGTGGACACAGGCATCTGGGCTGAGTCAGGGAGATGTTGCATGATTCCTTGATGCAAAGATGGGGAAGGTACTTGACCTAGTGTGGGTATTTAACCAGTGTTCGGGAGACTGAAGAGGCCCACACTGAGAAAGATATAGTTGATTCATAGGCAAAGTTTGTCTCCTGGAAGCACATTGAATGGAGAACTATTGATAGAAATGATTCACTATTATACTAGTTGGGTTAATTGGGTAGTAGCTCTAAATAAGATGTTAAATTAGATAAAAGTTGTCCTGGTCCCTTTTCTTACTTTACTACTTACACCACTCATTGTTCTTGGCTGAACCCCTCATTGAATACTACCTTGTTTTAAGATGTCCATCCAGCATTCGGTCACTGTAGCTTCATAACACATTTGACATAAACCTATCTCCTTAGCTACTCCTAGATAGACAAGAGCAGGGTTGGGGTGGGGTGTGTTTTGTCTCCTTTATTTTCCTCGTTTGTGCAGTTTAAACTGATCTCATAGGCTCCAGGAAATTTACATCCTAAACTCAACTTCTCAAGAAAGAATAAAAGCTGGTATTGTATTGATATGCATCTTTCCGACACCTCGATTCTCAGTCTCCCTTGTCTCTGTGCAAAGAATGATTCAGTGTGGAGTGATTCTGTTGTCCTGTTGCATTCTGCATAAGCAGCGTTTCTGTGAGTTGTGATTTCCTGTGGTAGTTAAAGTGACAATAGAAGCATGACAGAGTGCAAAATGGAATTCCAAAGATGAGACTAGAGACAGGTAAACATTTTAATGTCAAGTACTGCCAATATGTCTATTCATTATATGCACGAGCTTCTCTGTATCAAAAAAGCCAGAGTGGTTTATCAGCTTGCCTTGTCAGTGTAGCTAACAGTTGAGAAAAGCTTCAGCATTTCAAAGATGGGTCAAGACAGTGCAGCTCCAGATGCATGTTTTAAAAAAAAAAACAACACTCATTTTACATTATTGACTTTCTTCTTGCTAACAAAGACTTTGAGTGTAATTGGGAAATGATAGTTTAAAGATTATTACTGACACCTGTCAAAACAGGTTTCTTAATTCTAAAGTAAGGAAACTGAACAGGTGCGATGCATTGGTATAATTTCTCAGGAATGATTGTGATTATCATGGAAATATTATAGTTCAGTGTTTCACTAGATCCAGAGTAGGCAGCCTGATACTAGTCAGATGCTTTAAGATTCATATTACTATCAACCCCAGCCGGCAAACCAGTTTGGGGATTGTGGGTATTATGGTTCAAAGCTTCTGGAGAGCACGAACTAGCCTGCTTTTACATTAGGCAGATTTAATTTAGAATCTCCAACTGACCAGGAAGCGCCCAGCTTTTAACAACAGTTTAGCCTCTAGGAATTACATTGGATTTTACAACCCAAGGATATTTTCAGCCAATAATTGCTGTACTTTCAAAGGTTTCCTAAGTGGACCTCCTCAGAAGCTTGCAGTCCTGGTGGGATATAAGAGGCCTGTCTTGGTGCCTAGGGACTTGGACAATCGAGGTTCTGTGCATTAGTCCACCGCTTTCTTGAAGTGAGCTTCAGATTAGCACCAAATGAGAAAGATGACAGTTCAGCTGCTGTGCAGCCCTCTGTGATTATAGTATCACAGACGTGTCCCTGATGTTTATTTCTTCTTTTCCAGTTCGTGTTCTGTCGTGAATGTAAAGAAGAATACCATGAAGGGGAATGTCTCACTTTTTGCGAAACTCAAGGAGCCATAGCTCAAAAGGTATGCAACTCCACATTGATAGCATCCAACTAAAAACAGAGATTTTGAGGTTTGACCCAGTTTGAGAAACATTTGGGGACACGTAATTTAGAATACAAGCAATTATAGCAACGTTCCTTCAAATGAAGGGCAGGGAGATGGCATTCCATGAATTCCATTGGAAGGAAACAAGAAATTCCACAGTGGGAAAAGATTCGGATGATTCTAAAATCAGAAATATTTCCTTCCCAAGATCTATGGTTACAAAAACTGCTATATTAACCTGGGGGGGGGG